GGGACACCCAGATTCCTGGGAAAGTTGATGTCAAGTGTCAGGCCATGTGGCTTCTCTTAATAATAACTCGCTTAGAATAAAAGGTTAAGAGACCTCTGGTTTCATCAGAGGCTAGAAACTGCCTGAGCAGCTGGATAATGATTCTGTTTTAACCAAACTTAGTAGAAGAGAGAGAAACAAGGGCAGAATTTCCCCGAGCATAATATTGGGGATATTAGGTATTACAGAAAAAATGGTGTGTGTGTGTGTGTGTAATTCCTGGTTTAAAAATATGGGAAACACTGGGCTAAGCAATTAAACATGCTTCTTGGTTGCAGTTCTTGGAACTTTTTAAAGTGATTATGCTTTGTCATTCTCCAAAAGGGAGGTTTCTAAAATGCATCTATGTCAGGGTTCTTTATCACAGAGTCCTTTAAGGGACATTGTGTGACATGGATGTAGAGAAGAGGTTTGAGACCCAACATCCCTGCAAGGACAAAGAGGGTCTCTGCAGAGCAATCTGAACCCCAGGAAAGAACTCGGGCTCTGGAGGCGACAGGGACAAGGTGGAGCAGAGCTGATGTGCAATTCAGCCTGGCAACACTTGGGAGAGTCGGGGCGCCTTCCTATCACTGGGACTGGCAGCATCTTTGTGCCCTGAAGATCTAGGCAAAATTGGAAGACGGTTCTAGAAAGCCTGAGGCTTTTGTTTGCTGGAGAGTGGATCCAACTCAATTCTCTCTCAACCCGAAAGCTGAAGAGTCAGTGTCAGGAACCATCCCGGAAAGGAAGAGGTTGTAACTCTCCCCCCTCCTCCCGCTTCCAGGAAAAGTCAAGTCAGTTTCGTTAGCAAAAAGCCAGGATCAGAAATCTGCAGCCTATTAACGCTCTGGAGTTGCATAGTCCACCAAGTCTTAACACCCTTCCTTTAATCTTTTTGTTTTCTCAGTTTAGAATTTTTATGATGGAGACTCCTTTTTTTTGTTTTTTAACTTGCTAGAGAATATTTACTTAGGGATATTCACAGTCCTTTATGAAAATTAGGGATGTAGATTTCTCTTTCTCTCTAGATCAGTCAACATGTAATTTGCTGTTCAAACTGGGATGATTTTGAGAAAAAGGGAGGCACCATTAATAACTATCTTGGAACTACGTACTGGATCCAAGACAGTCCCAAGCAAACTGTGATGTGTGGTCACCCTGCTCACAGGTGTATAAAAATCTGTGCAACACGGGAGTTTGTTTGTTTGTTTTTTTTTTTGAGGAAGATTAGCCCTGAGCTAACTGCCAATCCTCCTCTTTTTGCTGAGGAAGCCTGGCCCTGAGCTAACATCTGTGCCCATCTTCCTCTACTTTATACGTGGGACGCCTACCACAGCATGGCTTGACAAGCGGTGCCATGTCTGCACCCGGGATCCGGGCCAGTGAACCCCGGGCCACTGAGAAGCGGAACGTGCAAACATAACCGCTGTGCCACTGGGCCAGCCCCAAACATGGGAGTTTTGATAACAGATGTCAGATGTTGATGAGGCTGCAGAGATGAGGGGCCGGGGAGAAGGTGGGTTCATGGCACAGAGGGACTTTGAGAATGACTGGTGCCAGCAATCCAGAAAAAGGAAATGACTCTGGTTATTAGGGCATGTGATTTTTGGAGTCATGGGAAGGTTGACTTGGGAGGACGTTGGAGATAATACTAAAAAGCAGAGAAGAGACTCAATTTCTGTAAGTTTTGGGGAAATATATCTCTGAATTAGGCTTAAGTTGTACCATAGCCTGTTCTGAGGTTGGTACAATCGCCCACTCTGTCAGTCAGGCGTACTCTGGCTTCTCCACGTTAGTGTGATACACCGATGGACCTTTGCCACAAGGTACTAGGGCACACCCAGGGAGAGCAAGAGTTGGTGGTGTGATTCTATGATGTTTTAGTGTTATTAAAATACACGCTGGGGCCGGCCCCGTGGCCAAGTGGTTAAGTTCGTGTGCTCAGCTTTGGTGGCCCAGGGTTTCACTGGTTTGGATCCTGGGCGCAGACATGGCACTGCTCATCAGGCCGTGCTGAGGCGGTGTCCCACATGCCACAACTAGAAGGACCTCCGGCCAGAATATACAACTATGTACTGGGGGGCTTTGGGGAGAAAGAAAAGGAAAAAAAAAAAGAAGATTGGCAACAGATGTTAGCTTGGGTGCCAATCTTTAGAAAAAAAGCTAATTTTCTACCATGTAGTATTAGAAACCAAGAGGTATTAGGATTTGTAAATTGTATTTCATAGAATGATTATATCCATAAAGCATGATCATGTGATAATTTAAATAAACTAGAGTAGTTATTAATTAGAAGTGTAGTCTATGTCCAGGAATATAGACAGAGTACAGAGTACAGAAACAGAAAATTTCTCTAAGTGGAAGAAACTTAAGTCTAACTTTATTAACATTGGTTATTTAAAAAAAATTTTTTGTGTGGTACTCCTCCTCCTCCTCCTCCTCCTTCTTCATATTATTATTAGCAGTAGCAGCAGTAGGATTGTTTTGCTAATGTTAATGAACATGGAACCAGGCACTGTGCTAAGTGTTATTAATCCTGACACTGTCACTAAGTAAGTCCCCATTTTATGCATGAGAACACTGAGGTTTAGGGAGGCTATGTGACTTGTCTAAGGCCAGAAAACTGGTAAACAGGTTTAACATCCAGTTCTATCTTCCAAAATCCATGCCATTCTTAACCTCCTCCACAGAACAACTAAATTAACCTGCTTAGAACCATCTGGCACAGAATATTTGGTCAGGCCTTCCAAATTTCCAAAGTATAAAGAATCAGAATCTGTCTTTGATTCTTTGGATTTAGGAATGTTAGTGGCCTCCAGTTGAACAGCAAAAAAACCAAGAGGACATGAGTCCCTGACTTGGGGGCATTATATACCCAGAATATTTGACACCCCCAACAGATTACTTTAAAAACTCTCTGCTCTGTGCAACAAAATTATTTTCAGTACTAATCAAGTACTAATCAGTTATAATCATTAGTTTCTTGATTGATTCTTTAGTTTTAAAAAACAATTAACAATTTAAAAAGAAGAATATATTCCAATTTAAAGACATTATTCAACTTTGGTAGAAGATTTCATGCGTGAACAAAAATTTGCAGAGAAATACTACACCTTGAAGTTTGTGTACTGTCCTAAAATTTAAACACAAATATAACTCCTTGTGATCGCATAAGATGACAGAATTGAAATAAATTGGTTTTGCCCGCTTTATATTCCCTGGGCTATCGTTGTTGCTTTGAATCTACTGGTTAAAGGTGGGAATCTGGAGAACCATAGGTCATGGAGACATGAACAGCACTGGAACCATCACGAATTGACTTTCGAAATGAATGTATGAGGCCTTGTGTCGGGGCTGACTCTGTAACTGGGAGTGCTTCAAATTAACTTCCACGTAGAATACAATGTCTATGAGGGATCTGTAACAAACATGCATTAATATGACGTTCCATATACGTTATCAGAACCCAACAGTAACCATTGTAATTATTTAGAATGCAGTCAAACAAAAGATTTTTCGAGAGAGGGCAATTTTATCACAGACATTGTTCAGAATTGCTGGCACATGTGATAATAAAAAGTGGACCAACTTCTACTCATCTTTAATATTGATTTGAAATTCTCTACAGCCAATGCTTCCCTTCACTGTCTTTACCTGAGCAGATCACTCCCACTGCCCGTCCTTGGCACCCCATGGTTTTGGGGTTTCCCCAATCAGGTTCGGGGGCCAAATGCTTACCTTAGGGAATGCCTACGCATTGAGATGCTTTAGGAAGTTCCTACTTTAAAACAAAAACAGTTCTATTTTGGGGAGTTCCCAATCATATGGGGAGGGAGGGGCTCACCTCTTTAAAGAGGGCTGAGGTCAAGAGAACAGGGTTGTTCTCCTTGAGAACTGGAGTCTGAGTCTGGGTTGGAAGAGCTCATATTTAGAAATGGAGCTACAAGACAGGGATGGCTACAAGGAAATGACTCTGGTTATTGCGGCAGGTTGTTTTTACACTCATGGGAAGGTTGACTTGGGAGGACATTGGAGATAATATTAAAACGCAGAGAGAGGGCTCTGCTTCTCTGAGTTTGGAGGAAAGTTTATGTCTTCGAATGAGGCTTAAGCTTACCATCCACAGGAGCTTGCTTGCCTTTTAAAGCAGGTAGACAGTAGCATGCTGAAAGTGATTCCCAGATGCAGCTTTAGGGCTCCCCAGGGACCAAAGGCAGGCAATGTGCAGTGGGGCTCATCATCAAATCATCTTTTAACAGCTCACCAGGGCTGGGAGGGATGGATGGGACTAGGGTGCAGAAGGCATGTTCTGCCATGCGTCGGCTGCCACGCACTCCTCTGAGCCTGCCAGAGGTGGCAGCAGGCAACAATTCCTTAAGCCAAACAAATTATGGAGAAGGACAGCTTGTGAAAACTTATGTGAAATTTAAAAAGATTGGAAGCTTTATTGTTCTCAGTTATAAACTGCACTCAAATTAATTTCAAAGGAACTGGTGCCAAGTCAAGGCCTTGCCAGATGTACTTTAATGAACGAGAAAGAATAATTTGTGATTATAATTTGTGTGTTGTATTCAATTAGGTCCTGAGTGGTTTAAAGAGAATTTTCTTTTCAATGACATTTTTCTGATTTTAAAAATAATAAAATCATTATAGAAGTCACAGAAAAATATTAAAATAGTACTTACCCACAATTTTATCTCCCATAGTGTATATCGATTTTAAGATCTTGTCCTTTTCATTTAACAGTATGCTTAAACATTTTTCTCTGTCATTAGTCATTCTGTGGAAGTACTTTTAATAGATGCATATTATTTCATTATATGAATTTGCCATAATTTATTCACCCTATTCCCATCATTGGGCTTTTATATTTTCTTTTTTTCTTTTGGTATAATAAATAATACTATGACCTTTTTCGCTCCCTGGCCATTTTGGTGGCTGCTCTTGGTTGGGGGCCATCCTGCACCTAAGGTAGGAAGATGGCGGCCACAAAGAAGATGAAAAAATTGTTGGAGTCGGTCAACTCTAGGCTCCAACTCATTATGAAAAGTGGAAAGTATGTGCTGGGGTACAAGCAGACTCTGAAAATGATCAGACAAGGCAAAGTGAAACTGGTCATCCTCACCAACCAGTGCCCAGCCTTGAGGAAATCTGAAATAGAGTACTATGCCGTTTTGGCCAAAACTGGTGTCCATTACTACAGTGACAATAATACTGAATTGGGCACAGCATGTGGAAAATACTACAGAGTGTGCACACTGGCTATGATTGATCTAGGTGATTCTGATATCATTAGAAGCTTGCCAGAACAGACTGGTGAAAAGCAAATCATGCAAAATTTTTCTTTAATAAAACTGGCCAGAGCTTGTTTTAAAAATAAATAAATAAATAAATAACACTAAGATGAACATCCTTGCAGATAAGTCTTCCCATATAGTTCTGAATGCTTTCTTATCACAGATTCCAAGTCATGGGGTTATGGAGGGGAAAGGTATAAACATTAAGACTCTTAGTGTGTATTGTCAGGTTGCTTCCATAATAAAGGTTTTGACCAACTTACCTTCCACCTGCAGCGTGACAGAGGGCTGCTTCCCCTGCTCCCACCATCAGTAAAGTGTACTAAATGCTCCCAATTTTATTGAAACAAAATAACATTGTTTCATTATAAGTTTTTAATGATGATTGTATATAATAAAGGATGTATCTGATCTTTATCTCTGATTCCTGACACCTTGAGATTCCCTGAGGGATAGGTGTGTCCTTGTTATGCTAGTGAGGTGACTCAAGGTGATAACACTAGGATGGGAGCTGGTCACCAGAAAGACCTAACATGTGCTTAGAGGGTCACTGGATCTCCAGGGAGGGGAGAGGAGCTGGAAACTGAGTTTAGCAACACAGTCACTTATTTAATCAATCAAGTCTACATGCGGAAGCTCCAGTAAAAACTCTGGAGTGGTTAGTGTCAGAATTTTATTGCAGAACACCCAGTTGTGGGTGGAACATAATAATGATTTTGATAAATGGAATTTTCTTCACTGTTACATTCAACAGATAGTTATTGCACACGCTCTATGTGCTGGGAAAGGTGCTGGATGCCGGGAATCCCACTGGGAGCAAACGTAGAAAGTATACCCCCATGCCTATGGGGAGGTAAGCCTGGTGGTGGGTGGAGACATTAATCAAATAATCACCCATCATGTAAAATTGTACAATGAGAGGTGTAGATGCTATGAGATCATTTAACAGGAAGATTTGACTTAGAGAAGTCAGCAAAAGCTTTCTTAAGGAAGTGATTGAACTGACCTCTGAAGAAAGAGAAAGAATTAACTAGGAGAAGGGGGTGAGTGGGCAAATGAGGAAGCAGTCCAGGTGGAGAGAGCAGCCCACGCAAGGCCAGGGTGCTGGGGTGGAGGGAGGTGGGAGTGAGCGATGGAGCTACTGGGCTGGGAGTCCACTGCACAGGGGTGTCCTATTTAGGATGATTTAAAGTGCCTAAGGGAAAGGTTTCCGGCAGTTTAAGGAATTAAGAAAATAAAAGAGGCAGCGGTGAGGGGAAGGATTACAGACTGTCCATTGGGATGCGAGGCGCTGGACCAGATAATGAAGGAGATGGAGGCGTTTGCATAGGAGTCTCAGAGAACTGGGATACACTGGGGGAGACCGCAGGGAATAATTAGTAGCTCAGTGCTAGGGAGGAGGGGAACAGGGCAGCTGACATCTATAGATCCCAAGGACTGCCGTGATGACAAAAAAGAATAAACTCTCAGAGTTAATACTGTCAAAGTCACCATTGGTTAGAAATTTATATTCTCTTCAATATTCTTTCCAATTGGTTATATGCATGATAAAGAGTGCATACTTAAAAAACCCCAACGAGACAATGAATGCGATGGGCATGTGCAGCTGTTCTCAAGGCAGGGGCCTCCCCTCTGGGGCAATATCATGCCCAATGCACCTGACAGCAGCTCCCTAACATGTGCTTCCTTGTGGGGACTCTGTCTTCACAGGGCTAGCCTGCCCTTTCTCCTGCTTCGTCTTGGGAAATGTGCGTGTTGTAATAAAATGTCGGTTATACCAGCTGACTTACCAGCCACATTTCCTCCTCTAGCATAAAAAATTCTGGAAATTTGTTAGCGAACTTTAAATGCTGGGAAGGTTTCTTTTTAATTTAAAGGAAATCAGATTTACTAAACACTCACGAAAAGAAGATTTGTTCTGATGTTTGAAATCCGAGAACCCTGACAAGGGAGAGCGAGGAGCCCCGTCTGCGTTCACATTGGCTCCACGGATGTGAAAGAAAGCACATCTAGGGGGTCCACACCCTCAGGATGGCTCAGAGGGCGCCGCGCACAGGGCGTTGAGCAGGTGCTCAATGAATCAAGAAAAACAGTTGATTCAGAATGCGACTGTGAAAATTAGTTTCTATTCTACTGGGATCTAAATTCCCACCGAATTTAGAATCCAGATTGAGGTCAGGAACGTGATGTTTACAAAATTGATCCAGGAAGTAGAAATTTCCACCAATACTTTATGACGTAAGATTAAGATAGGATTGAGTTGGGGAGGTAAGGAAGGAGGGGTATAACCGTCCCCAAAAGAAGCCCCTGTGGTTTAAAACAGGGACAGCCTTCCCACGGTGTCCACTGCTAATTGATCGTGTCGCTCCTTCCTGCCCAGCTGGAAGCAGTCTCAGAATCTTTCTTAACGTCATACTCCAGACGACCATTACCAATTAGTTAAGCAGAGACGGCCCCGTCAGGTGAAAGGTATTTGCAATCTCTTGCCTCAAGGTATTCAGATCATCCAATTAAAATGGCAACAACTAAACTGTCAATGCATGAATAGTGATAATCTCTGTAAGGAGTAAGGAATGTAGCACTGCAGTGTCCCAAGTTTCTGGATATCCACATCCATATGCAATCCTCAAGAACAGCTGTAGTTGTGGCTTCTAAGTAGCTAAGCAGCTGTGATTGCTAATGGGAATAGAAATGAACTGAGACCCAGAAGAGTCTCACTGTGAGTATTCCATCCCCTTTCTCCGAGTGGCACGACAAGCTGGGACGCACAGACACATGTTAACATCGAGATCAAGAGTGGCCGAGATAACACAGTGAGGGCGTGAGAGAGAGAGAAGGGATTTCAGGGGCTGAAGTTACCCTAGAAGAGGCTACAGGGTAGAAACGATGCCCACATGGTTGCCTAAGTCTTTGGAAAGAAGGCAGTGCCGCAAGAATTCTTAGCATTAATAACTGTCATTTATGGAGCAACCTGCCATCAGCCAGGATCTCACTTAGATATCACAGCCATTGTGTAGGGAAGCTTTTATTCTCCTCCTTCGTCCGTGAACAAACTGAGGCTCAGGAAACTGAGCAGTGTGCTCAGGGCCACACAACCCATAAGTGGTAACACTTGAATTTGACCCAGTGACAGCAGGAGCCAAAGAGGGCTCTGTAAACAACCACACTAGACTGCTTAGATGTAGCAAGCATGTGGCCCCAGCGTTGATATTGGGAGGGCTAGGCACGGGGATAAACCTTCCAAGAAAGGCCAGAGACTGGACCGCTGGGAGGGATGACATGTTCAATACCCCTGGTGCTTCAGTTTTGCTTTCTTATTTACCTAATATTATTCAAATAACATCTGCGTTAGTTAACTGCTTCATTTAGAGCTGGCGAAATACAGAGCCACAAGAGCTAACAGGGTGTAAAAGAAATAGACAATCTGAGTATACTGTGGTACCTACTGTTACCTTCCATCTGCCTGTATGTGAGCCACGGCCTCACTACCCACAGTGCAGTTTCCAGACCAGCAGCACTCACCGCACCTGAGTACTCATGAGAGATGCAGAGTCTTAGGCCCCACCCCAGACCTACTGAATCAGAATCTGCTTCCTAACAAGACCCTCAGATGGTTCGTGTGCACATCAAGGTTGGAGAAGCGCGGAGCTAGGAGGCACAACCAAAAGGAAAGACAAGATGTAAAATATCTAAAGAAACAAGCATACTCAGACCAAAACAAGGCAAAAAGTGATTTTTCTCAGAAAAAAAAATTTAAAGTTTAGCTCAGGGAGGTATTTTTTTTTTTCCTGGTAAAATTATAAGCAGGATCTGTTCATTTGAAACAGGATAAAAAAGGCGGGAGACTTATGAGGGTTGTTGTCACAGCTGGTGGGCACAGAATTGAAATGAGCTGAATAATAGTCTTGCCATTCCTTTGTTCATGAGCTAGGCTCAACGGCCTCAGGGTAGTTTCCTTATTCTGTGGCATCTCCAGCCCAAGGATGGGCATGTTATTAAAAATTATATAATGCCCGTGATGTCTTGTGGGCGGAGGTAGGAGAGTTGTAGGGATGGGAGTGGAGGGAGAGAGACCACCTGGCCCAGGCCAGAGAAACAGGAGATCTCTGGAAAAGGGAGGGATTAGGAAACTGACTCTAGCTGGAGATCTTAGGCCTTTCTGTGGTCCCTCTGCCCAACTATGTTAAATTTTGGCGATCCATAAACCCAGCTGTCAGACATGAAAATAAAGAATAATTTTGTTGGGCAGGAAGTCACCATCTATTTTTTTCAAAATGGAAATAGCTTTATTGTTTTCTTTCCTGATTATGAAAGTAATACTTGTTGCAAAGAAATTAAGAGAGTGAAGAAAAAATGTGAAATAGAAAATGACAATCACTTTAAACCCTAGGCAGAGAGAACTATATATTCATATTACACACACACACACACACACGCACGCACTCATGCGCACACACAGACACACACCATCACATGCACAAAGGTTTATAGACCTGGTATCATGGAAAACGGATTCTCCAATGCAGTGCTTGGAGATTATAGGGCTTTGTGCTCGAAAACCCATGGGATGTGATGAGGATTTTTAGGCTGGTTAATTTTAAAACTACAGATGAGATTCAGGCTCCAAGGAGTGGAATTTGCTTGCCCCTTTGTTGGGAAACATTTACATTTCTAAGGGAAACCTCTATCTGTGAAGATGCCTCCCTCTCTGTGCCAGGAAGAAGGGGGATGGCCTTATCTCTAGAAACTCTTAATCAATGCCAGAGGCCAGAACTTAAGTTGTCACCCCCCCCCGCAACCTCATGTAACTGACCACTCCCCACCCCCCAAATCCTCCTTTGTCTTTAGCTGAGGATAATATTCAAGCGGTGACTTCTGCCATTTACTCAATCCGGTTTGATTCTTATCTAAAAGTTGTGGGACCACCAAATGGCCGGACCCTATGGGCACTGATACCGTTTTAACTTTTTTACATATTCTTTGTCTTGTAAAGAGATAACTCACATACCTATGCCTTAAATTTAGCCTTACTCTCCACCCAACTTTGCAGCAGAAGCGACAGCAGAAGCGGCAGCAGCAACATGCCG